TTCCTGCTGCATCAACCTCTTCCTTTAAATAGAAATGATAACTCCACTGGATCCCATGTTAACTTACTGCATCCCCCATTGTTTCTTACTTGTCCCACTGCAGCCATGGAATCCCATTCCTCACACTCAGCAGCTGTGGACCCAGCCAGTGGCTTAGCGTGCTGTGCTTCAGTTCCCTGGCCTGTAGGATGGAGGTGTTAACAGCGTCTACCTCCTAGGGTTTGTGAGGATGACATGGGTCAATTCATGCAAAGTGGCCAGAACAACCCAGCACATCAGGACTTAATATGTTAGTTGTCATTATCCTCATAATCTGTCAAGGTTTCTCATGCTTATATTCCAAACCCTGTCACCTAATGGAACAGGCCATGGGTAATGGTCAAGGAACTGGCTTGCTGACTGCAAGGGACCCAAAAGAAAGGGCTGGGGCAGGGGGCACAGTGGGTGAGCAGTGGAGGGGGTGGGGCCCTCTAAGCCCCACTTTAAACAGATTTCTTCCCTTTATTGGTCTTTTATATTCTGTTTCTAGGAATGTCTCATGTGAAGAAAGAGTTCTGCTTGAGGGAAAAATAGTAATCTTGGCTAAGTTGCTGACGAGGGTAACGTCCTAGCCCCTCTCGGCCACAGTTCAACTCAGCAAAACCTTACTGGGTTCAGTGCCTGCTGTTTGCAGAGCATGTGCTGGGTTCCACGGGGGGTGGGGGGTGGGGGGGTGGAATAAGACTGTTCTCTGCCTCCACGCAGTTCGTAATATAATAGGTACCCGGACCCCGTGCCAGGCAGTCTGACATGTGTGCTGTGTGGGGTAAGGGGACAGCACGGAGCGGGGGTCCTGGAGAAGCAGCTTTGAGCAGGGGCAGGATCACAACAGGCCGAGATGAGACGGCTAGAAGCCCAGGCAGTGGGGACAGTGTCCGGAGGACCATCCCTCCTCATCCACACTGACCAAGTGACACAAATGGTGTTCAGCCTCCAAGCTCAGTCTGGCTTGACTGGGTGGGGAGGGAAAGAAAAGGGAGGGTGGGGACCGTGTCCGCCGCGTGCCTTTCTGCTCAGGTTTTGGAGCAAGAGAGTGATATAACCAGAGCTGGGTTTTAGGAAAATGCATGTGCAACAGCACCACTGGCAAACTATCACACGAGGCCCAAAGGGATGGTGAGACTTTGGATTAAAACTTTCTCAAACAGAATTACTCTCAGAGTTCATTTTCAGCCTAGCTCCTTAGGGCAGGTTGGGCCCTGCTATGTTGTTATTGCTGTACGGGAGGAATCTTCCTAAAAGAAAAAAGCCACAGCACAGTCTGCTGCCATCTGAAAGCCTGCACTTCTGAAGGGTATAATACATAGTGACGGTTGTGATCTATGCCAGTGGGTGTGGGTCCCAGTACCTCACCATCCTCTGCCTGCATAATTTAAAATGACAGCTTCGTGTCAAAATGAAATGTGAGTGAAGTTCCTTGGATATTTATAAAATATCAAACAGAATCATGTCAGCAAAAGATGGGTCTTTTATTGCTAAACCACACAAGGATTTTTGTGTGTTTGGAGTTGCTGGCACCTCATCTACAAGCTGACCTTCAGCCGCAGCATAGACGAGGTGGTCCGCGGACCAGAAGGTATTTTCACCCACTGCAGTAAAAGGATGTCACAGGCTGCAACCAGATTGTCCTCAAAAGACCGAGGCGCAGGTCAGTGATACAACTTTTTCTGTTTCGTACTTTTAATTATTAACGGTCCACGTTCCCCTGAGAAAGTGAAAGTTGCCAGAGCAGATGGAGAAGGCTGTGGTCTGCTAACCTCAGGACAGCTTCCTGGTTTCCAGCCTCTGGCCGGACACCTCAGGCCACCAAGTTTGGACAGTTTTTAGGTGCAGCTCCAGACAATCCTGTCCGTGCCTACGAAAGTGTATGGACACGCATTTCCGTTAATTTACTAATGCTTCAGTACTTTAACAACTGGTGCCGGGGGACGGGGGGACTCGGTGCAGACGGCGAGCGCCGGGGTCAGAAGGTCTGCGATCAGCGCTGCAGCATCTGGCCGCCTGGCCCCAGGTGCGCCTGGTCCAGCTCCGGGAGCCCCGCCCGCTACGCCGTGCGCCCCGCGGGCCCCGCTCCCGGCGCCGAGAGATGACGTCACTGTCTGCGCCGCGTGCTGCAGAAACGGGAAGTGGGACCAAAACAAAGGAGCGGCGACCGGGAGCGGTCTTTCTTTTCCTACCTCCTCCGGCTTCCACCTCGGCCCCGGCCGCCGACCCCCGGGAGCCGTCCGATCATGTCCAACATGGAGAAACACCTGTTCAACCTAAAGTTCGCGGCCAAAGAACTGGGCAGGAGTGCCAAAAAATGCGACAAGGAGGAAAAGGCCGAAAAGGCCAAGATTAAAAAGGCCATTCAGAAGGGCAACATGGAAGTTGCGAGGATTCACGCCGAGAACGCGATTCGCCAGAAGAACCAGGCGGTGAATTTCCTGAGGATGAGCGCGCGGGTGGACGCGGTGGCCGCCAGGGTCCAGACGGCCGTGACGATGGGCAAGGTGACCAAGTCGATGGCCGGTGTGGTTAAGTCGATGGACGCGACGTTGAAGACCATGAATCTCGAGAAGATCTCCGCCCTGATGGACAAGTTCGAGCACCAGTTCGAGACGCTGGACGTGCAGACGCAACAGATGGAGGACACGATGAGCAGCACGACGACGCTGACCACTCCCCAGGGCCAGGTGGATATGCTGCTGCAGGAAATGGCAGACGAGGCCGGCCTCGACCTCAACATGGAGCTGCCGCAGGGCCAGACCGGCTCCGTGGGCACGAGCGTGGCCTCGGCCGAGCAGGACGAACTGTCCCAGAGGCTGGCCCGCCTGCGGGACCAAGTGTGACCGCGGAACCCGCTCTCAGGCGTCCCGGCCGCAGCCACCTTCGAAGACGGATACTCTACGCTAGAAACTCGGAACCGGCCGGCATGCTGAACTGCTCTTACTCAAGATGCTTCTACCTTTGGGTTTTACAGTGCTCTCCAGATACACGAAGACGTCGCAGGCCTTCTCCACTCTTAAATGGATTTGAAAGTTCTGTATAGCTTGTTGTCATGTGTATTTTTATAGCTGCCTTTTAACAGATCTGGTTAATTTGGCGTATATGAATCTTTCTCAAAAATTTGATCAAAGCTCTAGTTCCCGTGTATTCAGTATTCTGCCCGAATTACCAGAATTGAAGGTTTTCTTTTTCATTTTGTGTAATCGATAATATCTAGATTTGACGGGAGGTGATTACTTAGGTTGATTACAGCGCTATCAGCACCTCATTAAGAGATTTATTTCATGGGCAGTGCTATTCTGTGTGTCCTTTGTTTATTGTCATCAGATCCAGACTAAAGGTGACTATTCATCTGTTCTCATAACTTACACTAAAATTACTTTACGATTTTCCTGCATAATGTTCAGTTACTGTTTACGTCCTATAAATTTTTCTTATGGTAGTTGTCTTTATAACTGGAAATGCCACGTAACTTCCATTTATCATAAGAGAAAAGTGTTCATTTATGGGTTTAAGATTTACAAGGTTTAACGTTAGTATGACAGTTTTTTCCAAATGAACTTCTCTCTCACGTTTCTAGTTATTTTCCTATTTAATTAGACTTCTTTTAAAGTATGGCAATTCGCATGACAGTCACATTACTCTGACGTTGCCAAAGAACCGTTGACTGGTTTGAGAAAGCCCTGGGACTGTGTGTGTGTGGGTTTTGTTTTGATTTTAATCAAAAATAGAAATAAAATTAGAACTGCATTTTAGGTTCTAATTATTTGCATTTATCATCTTGTCTTAAAAGCAACAGCTCTTTTAAAACCTCAAAAATACAAGTTGGAGTGTTTGGCTTAGCCATGCAAATCCCTTACACATACATGCAGCCACCTGGAAGTCTGGGAAGGACAGATGCAGGGTCAGATGGTAGGCTCGACCCTCTCAGGCCAGAGCCCAGATGTGCTGCCTTCCATCTTTCTGGAATGGTGGTGTGTAAAGTAAAAGTGAAAAAGCAGAGCCTGTAGCTACCACTTTCTCAGAGCCGCAAAACATGGAGAACAGCAACTTGCTTTTGCCTTGGCGAGCATATTAATCCAAGTTAAACACTTAAGGATATTTTAAATTCCCTTTCCCTCACTGGAGAGAATTCCAGTATTTCAGAAAATAATTAAAGGGACTCTTCCAAGTCCTTTGAAAGATTGAGAACCAAGTATTCACTGTTACAACATGTCCTCCTGTATGAATGTGTGTGTATTAAGGGGGAAAAAAAATGAAGAGTTGTGTGCAGATGAGGACTGACCCTCGTATATAAGTGTCATTATGTCTGACTGGATATTGTTCCAAAGTCTTCTATAAGGGACATCTGCCAGTCGTCTGCCCCAAATCCTCTTTCTAGAACTAGTCCCTTTTGGTGTCTCCTCTCATCCACAAGGTTGCCCAGAGGCAGCTGTGTGTGAGCACAGCATGAGTCCTAACCCCTCTTTAGACTGAAAACATCATTACAACTTAAATAATAGCTTGGTGTTGATCCTTTGGTAAATTGAGGACCCTTTTATAGTGCAGATAATTCCCAACAAAACTAATATATTTTGTGAGATTAAACAATACTTATATATGCTTGAACTTTCTTAAAATATGTTCATTTCAAACTATATGAATGTACATTTTTATGAAACATATTTTCAAAAGCATACCAAGCCCATGAATTATTTCCTCAGTTTTGCAGTTGATGAAATGCTGGAATATGAACCACAGAAGTTTGTCAAATAAATCATTTAAAACTGCATGTTATTGCATACTTACTGTACATCCTGTTTACAAAGCTATTTACGGAAAAAATTCAGAGGTTGATTTGGTTCAGAAAGCATAGTATTTTTCCAGACTCACCTTTAGCACCTGAATTTCTGTTTGCAGGCATATTTCTAGAAGCCCAAGTTGTTATTTCTTTACTGTAATAGTTTCTTCATGGCAACAAGGTTCTTCCTCATACTGAAACTTGCCTAGGCTAAAGAGAGAATTTCCAAAAGGATCCAGCTCAAACATACCAAGGAAATGGTTCATCTTCCATGCAACTACTAGTATAATTTTTGCTCTTATTTCTCCTTTGTATTTTTCTGCCTTCAAATTCACAGTTTCCAAATGGATTTAGAATAAACTTTTAAGTTTACTTTAGGAACTACTTAGTTTATTTCAGTTCACATGATAACTGCACTATTGGAGACCTTTCTTACTACAGATGCTTCTTCCTGAAGGAGTCTTAATGTGTGTGTGCCTTTCATATGAGGGTGCTGTGTGCCCACCCTGCTGTCTTCGATTTGGAAAGGTGCCGCCTAAAGTAAGCACCCATCTGACAACCTTATTCACTGAACGTGATCTCAGGGTCAGCCAGACAACCTCACCTCATTGAGCAGAAGTGAGGCACCTCATGTTCTAGATTCCTCCTCTGCAACAGGCATGACACCCTCTTGGAGGCGTTTCCATAGCCAAAATCCAAAGCTCAGGACCTCCGGTGCTGTTGGCAAAAAGCTGTGAGCCTGTGGTCATTGAACAAACTGATGAGCAGGCCCCCGTCTCTTTTTTTTCTTTTAATCAACTGGTTGGAATGAGACAGTGCCTGCCTGGTGTACTGGGGTTTGTTTTCCTACAACCGGATAGTAGATTCCATGTGGGGCAGGACCAGTGCATCTCAGTCATGGTTCCTGGGCATCAGGTAGTATACCCAGCTCAGTAGGTGTGAATGCAGATCTCCCTTGGGTGCTGTCACTCGTGACCACGCCCAGAGCTCCCTGGTGACAGCATCACAGTGGGTGCGGGGGCCCTCAGCAGAGCCCAGATGTACCCTCAGGACCACCCTGTCCTCTTCCTTCATCGTGTTTCTCCAAATTGAGGTATTTGCTCCTGCTCTTTAGGGTTTGTACATCCTCCATCCCTCCTGAACGGTGTCAGGACAAACAATGCAGCAGTGTTTGTTGAGAACAACTGAATACAGTAAAAGATTTAGACTGAGGTGTGTCAGATGCTGGCTGGCTGGGGCTTCTTTCTAGAAATAAAGACATGCCTCTGCCTTAAACGGTCCTCAGTGGAGTTAGGTAGAAAAGGCACGAGCAAAAAGAGGAAAATACACAAGTGTACACAGGTGCGACAGAGTCATCAAGATGAGTAACATAGAGGGCTTCCCTGGTGGCGCAGTGCTTGAGAGTCCGCCTGCCGATGCAGGAGACGCGGGTTCGTGCCCCGTTTCGGGAAGATCCCACATGCCGCGGAGCGGCTGGGCCCGTGAGCCATGGCCACTGAGCCTGCGCGTCCGGAGCCTGTGCTCCGCAAATGGGAGAGGCCACAACAGTGAGAGGCCCGCATAACGCAAGAAAAAAAAAAAAAAAGATGAGTAACATATATATTACTATATAATATATATATATCAGTAATATATATCTATATCACCTTCTTTATCCATTCATCTGTCAATGGACACTTAAGGTTGTTTCCATAGCTCAGCTATTGTAAGTAATGCTGCTATGAACATTGGGGTGCAGATATTTTCTGGAATTAGTGTTTTTATTTTCTTTGGATAAATACCCAGGAGTGGAATTGCGGGTCCATAAGTAGTTGTTCTGTTTTTAATTTTTTGAGGAGTATCCATACTGTTTTCCACAGGGGCTGCACCAATTTACATTCCCGTCAACAGTGTACAAGGGCTCCCTTTTCTCCACATCCTCACCAACACTTGTTATTTCTTGCCTTTGATAACAGCTATCCTAACAGGTGTGAGGTGATATCTCATTGTGGTTTTTTTTGCATTTCTCTGATGGTTAGCAGTGGTGAGCATCTTTTCATGTGCCTGTTGGCCACCTGTATGTCTTCTTTGGAAAAATGTCTCTTCAGCACTTCTGCCCATTTTTAAATCACGTTGTTTGTTTTTTTGTTATTGAGTCACATGAGTTCTTTATATAGTGTGGATATTAACCCCTTATCAGATATATGATGTACAAATACCTTCTCCCATTTGGTAGGTTGTCTTCTTGTTTTGTTGCTGGTTTCCTTTGCTGTGCAGAATCTTTTTAGCTTGATGCAGTCCCATTTGTTTATTTTTGCTTTTGTTGCCCTTGCCCGAGGAGACATATCTAGAAGGATACTGCTAGGACCAATGTCAAGGAGCATACTGCCTACGTTTTCTTCTAGGAATTCTATGGTTTCAGGTCTTGCGTTCAAGTCTTTAATCCATTTTGAGTTTGATTTTTATGTAGGGTGTGAGGTAATGGTCCAGTGTGATTATTTTCCATGTAGCTGTCCAGCTTCCCCAACACCAGTTATGGAAGGGACCATCCTTTCTCCACTGTATGTTCTTTGCTCCTTTGTCATAAATCAGTTGTCCGTACGGGTGTGGGTTTGTTTCTGGGCTCTCAATTCTGTTCCATAGAATTGGCTTCTTAGAAGAGGTTGGGTTCAATCTGAGGCTTCAAAGAAAAAATAGTGGGGATTACACAAAGGTCTGAAAAGCCAAAAACTACGTGGGGATTTGACTGGAGTGGAGGGTTTGACATCAAGAAGAACAAGGAAGAGATGGGACGCATTGCGAAGGGCTCGGAGGCCAGATTCAGGGTGGACTTCACTGAGGGCGGGAACAGGATGTGAGTCATCAGGTGTGCCATCCAGGTGACGGGAGAGGACAGGCCAGGGCAGGAGAGGAAAAGGCATGATGCTTCTCAGACATCCAAGGGCACGTGGGTCACTCACCCACCCCGGCTCTGGCTCAGCCGCAATCCCGATGCCCGGTCTCTGGTCCGAGGACCACCTCTGACGTGGCCTGGATCTCAGCCCTGCTGCGCATTAGATCAGGCTGATGCTCTGTCACTACTGC